TCAGTCACATTTTGAAAAGTTGAAAATATTCTAGAGTGAGGATTCTGTCCAGATTCCAGTTTAAAATTATAAGAGAGAAGAAGTAAAATACGAGAATAAGAGGTATGAATATGTACCAGAAGGGAAGAAGAGTAGCCAAATCAATCGGCAGAAGGTTAGTCAAGGAATGGATTTCACTTGACTAATAAATTTTAGCCTGGCACAAATAATAGCAATGCGTTCTGAAGATGCCGACTATAGGGTAGGTGAAATATCTTAGAATCTACTAAATCATGACTAGCATAAGAAAGAATTCCGAACAAGGTTCGTTCATGGATTGCATGACCATGCTTCATTACATGCATTCTTATTTATAGCGTTTTTGAGCTAAATTTTACTTTATGCCTTTATAAATGTAGTTTTAAGTACTACGTATGTTTAAGCCAAGAGCTATAAACAGAATATAAAGCACATTATTCCTCGGAATGTGATTATTTATATAAAAGCACTCCCATTATTACTAGTATCTTCCACACATAACGATGCTCTTGTGCGATAATTCTGCACTTCCATGGCCAAGGACGTCGTCAAGTGCTTAGATTTACTAAAGTTCTAACCCAAAAAAGAGGTAGTTGCATACTTTTGGTCTCGGCCAGAACAGCCGTCATAATTTCCAGCATCCGAAATGTGTTTTTGGCAAATTTTTAGCCGTTTCTCCGTCATCGTAGTCGGAACCGTCAGTGATCCATGCCAGTCTTAGCATCAAGTTAGAACTCATCAAAGACAATTTGTCTACAGTGAAAGGAGATGGAGACCAAAATACTGACCATTGCATTTAGGCTTTCAAAAAGTGGCACAATTTTCCCTTGTGACCTTCCGACCTTTGTTGACATTTTTCCTGTTAATGCTTTCCTAACTATAAGCTATATTTCTTCACTCAATGGCTAGACTTGCCAGCAATTATTTTTTCTTGCGTTGTTTAGATGGCTTACAGCCTCATAAACATACCACTTTTTTCCTAAAACCTGCATGAATGGATAGCGAAATTGTCAGGTTTATATGCATCTTACCGAAATCTGAAAATACAGTTTCTCTAGTGGAGACTTCTACTATTGAGAGTTGGTGGATGAGGTTTTGTGTTCTCAACGTGTATGACCATGCAAAGTAAATTATTGAATCAAATTTAGCAAAACTATCAGCAAATCTTGTCTAAGAGAGTATGTTACAAGATGCCTTACTGAGTGGGTTCGGAACAATTGACTTGGGATCAGATGCCCGAGTAGAGCAACAAATGGTCTTCTCTTACAATCTTTGTTGCTAACTACCTCACATTCTTTTATCCATTAACTTTAGTTTGAAATATTTATGCTACGATTAGAAGACAGCGGGACACCTGCTTTCCATGTGCTGTGTCACTACATACACTTTCCGGAGAGGATAAAGCCCGGTCAGCTTAGCGGAACTGTACCTCTCCCTTCGTCGTCACCAGTCAACTTCACAACTTCTAAGACGATAAAGCCTGAGGCTAAACAGGAACACGACGTTTCAGACCGTGACAAGCCCTTGGGCGGGCAGGTTAACTGGCCGGCCGGAGATTATATGCTGCCCATCGGAGGCCGTGGAGGTCAGGGCTATTCGCTATTTTCAGAATCCTCGCCCTACTTGGACCAGCGAGGGGGACTCAGCGCCACTGTGGCAGAGGCCCTGGAAGAACTAAAAGATCTCAAATTGCTTCCTCGTAGTCAGAGCCGCTCTTCAATTGGTAGGGTCAGAAAATCATACTCAAACGGGCGGGATGATTCACTAGACCTTGAGTCATCTGCCTTGCTAGACTCAGAGCCTGAAGAGGATTTCGCTCACTACAGGTGCCCACCCGGATTCGATCGTGTCAGCTTGATGTTCGTAAAGTATCCATTGCTTTCTAAAGCTAATTCCGAAGGTTTGTGGCATAATTTATTCGTCGAACCTTCGAGGCGCCAGTTTGAACACCCGAAAACTCAACAGTTCTGCTGGCGCAGTCGATTGCGCCTTGAAGACATGAGAGGATACGAGAGCAATGTGACCAAAGCTCACGTCCCATCTGCTTCTGCTGCCGCCCAATCCACGTCTAAATTCAACGATACATTTGCTTCCACTGTTGCCACAAATATCACCCATAAGACGGTTGCAACGTCGCTGCCGAGCTCAACAGTGACTGGTGCTGATTCGCTGACTCGAGGATCGACGTATCTGTCAAAAGTTGATGATATGTTGCGTCTACTAAATCTGGAACGCTTTGAGCGGAAACGTAAGTGGCTACATGAGCATAGCAGCAGCCATGCATTTGCCGAACATAAGGGAAA